TTTACATTTAAAGTGAGTATTGATAGGTACAAAGTTATTGCCATTTTACTATTCATATATATATTATCTTCTCCCCTTCTTAAAGAAGTCCGTTTAACATTTTGTGTAATACTGCCTTGGTGGCGATGAATTCCCTTAGTTTTTCTGTCTGGTAAGCTCTGTATCACCTTCAATTTTAATTGATAGCCTTACTGGCTAGAGTAGTCTTGGTTGTAAGGGTCTTTTCATCCCTTTTAATATTTCGTGCCAATCCCTTCTAGTTTGCCAAGTTTCTGTTGAGAAATTGGCTGACAGTATATCGAAGCTCTTTTGTAAGTAACTAGCTGCCTTTCTCTTGCTACTTTTAGGATTCTCTCTTTGTCTTTAACCTTTGACATTTTAATTATGATGCATCTTGGTGTGGACCTGTTTGAATTCTTCTTGTTTGGGATTCTGTGCTTCCTGGGGTTGTATGTCTGTTTACTTCACTAGGTTAGGGAACTTTTCAGTCATTATTACTTCAAATAGTTTATCAATTCCTTGCTCTCTCTTTTCTTCTTCTGGTACCACAATGATGCGAATGTTGTTAGGCTTGATGCCACCCCAGCTTTTTATAAGTTCTCACTGAGTTTATCTATCCTTCCCCTAAGTTCATTGAGCATTTATATAACCAGCATTTTAAACTCTGTCTGGCAGATTGCTTGCCTCTATTTCATTTAGTTCTTTTTCTGGACTTCTCTCCTGTTCTTTTTTTGGGGACACATTTCTTTGTTTACTAATTTTGGCTGCTTCTCTGTTTGTTTCTGTGTATTAGGTAAGTCTGCTATGTCTCTAAGTCTTAGCCAAGTGGCCTTATGTAGCAGGTGCCCTGTGTGGCCCAGTGGCACAGCCTCCTTGATCACCTGTTCTGGGTGCTCCCGGAGTGTGCTTTGTGTGGATTGTGTGTACCCTTTTGTTGTTATTGAGCCTTGATTGCTGTTGGCACATCAGTGGGTGAGATTGACTCTTAGGCTGACTGGCTATGAGGACTGGCCACACCCACAGCATGAGCTGCTGTGTAAGGACTGACCTCATGGAGTAAGATTCCCCTCAGCGGGCTCATGTGCCTGTTGAGACCATCCTTTGGGTGTGCCACTTGTAGGGCTAATCAGGTGGTGCTCCATTGTGGTCTGAAGCCTGGCTCCAGGTGTTGGTTCTGGGGCACCCTTGAGAGCAGCTCCCATGTGACCTCCTGAGGCTACCTGGTAGGAACTGCAAACCATCTGCACTTGGTTGCTGCCTGTGCTGGACCTGGAGGCACATGGGAGAGGCCAGGCTGTGAACCGAAGCGGATGCCACCAGTACTGGGCCTGGGGTAGCTCAGCAAAAGGCCCAAAGCACTCCAAGTTCTGAGTTTCAGCAGCTGAGCCTTGGGTTGTCTGTGAGTTGGGTGACATGGGGTCCCAGGGAGTCACCAGGGTGGGGCAAATCTCAGGTTAGTGCCAGCGCTGAGCCTGTGGTTACTCTTGAAAATCTCAGATCACACTGAGGCCAGCGGCAGCCCACCTTGGGCCCACAGCATCCCCAGATTTGTTCAAGAAATACTAGTTGCCCCCCACTGAAAGTGACTCCCCTGCTGAGATCTCAGGGTGGGGCTGGTTGCCTAGCCACAAAACTGCCTCCAGCAATGCAAGAGTCAGGTGGGGCAGGGTCTCTGAGAGTCACCGGGGTGGACATGCTCCTGCTTTTTAACATGTCATGACAGGTGAAGGATGGCTTTTGGGGAAGGGTGCCATGTTGGCCACCCAGGCCTTGGCCTGTTTAGAAAATAGCCTTTCGGAAGTCAAGTCGCCACACTGGGACCTTTTACCAGGTGGAGAGTTTGAGATCTAATGTTGAAAGCCACTTGGCTTTGCAGTGCGTGGTCGTGTTCCTGGATCCCTCAAATTGAGGTAAAAAATGTCTCTCATAGTAGGAACGTGAGGGTGGCGTGCTTCTTAAATTTTAGATTCTGGGGACCCAAGGGACTGAATTGGACTCCTGGGAGGGGGGCTTGAAAAATATACATTTTAAAGAAGCTCCCTGGGTAAATCTGATGTACCTTAAAGTTTGGGAACCTCTGAGTATAGGGACATGGGTGAGAGGGCAGGGCATTCTAGGTGGAAAGAACTTCACGAGCAAAATCCCTGAGATGGGAGAGAACAAGTCCTAGAGGCAGGGACCAGAAATCCAGGGCCTCGAACGTCAGCCAAAGAGCTGGGACTTTTCTCCTGAGGGCACTTGGAAGCCATGGGAGGTTTAAGTGGGAGACCGAGTGGTTAGGTAACAGTACCTCCATTCACAGATCAAAAGCAAGACAGGCAAAGTGACCTCTCCAGGGGAGGTGAAGACCCCCATGGCTGCCACCTCGAGATGGCGATGTGGAAACCATGGCAGGCTGGGGGCAGGCAAAGGAGGGGTGTTGATTTCCATCCTTCGGACTCTCCCCTGCCCTTATTTTTAGGTCTTTGGTTCCTGGCCACTCCCTGCCCTGGATTCTGACATGGGGACAGCTCTGATTCCACTCCCCATGCTCCTGCTGTGGCTCTGCCCCTTCTTCCTCCTTCTCCTCTTCCTCCAATGAGGACAGGTGGGCAGGTGGCCAGAAACGGGTGTGGGATTTTCTGCTTGTGGTGGTTTGGGGAGCGTCTCCGGTTGTGCGATTATGCGTGTGTTGTGGGCTCTGTGAATGTTTGGGAATCTCCGGGGACTTCCAGGTGCAGGGGGCCTAGGCTCTGGTATGCATTAGCTGGTTCGTCCTTTCCCATGGGTCTTCCCCATTCCCCAGGACCCTGGCTAATCCCCAGCTTTCTCAGGACGGGTCACTTCACCTCTCTTGATCTGTGAATGGAGGTACTATTATCAGTTCCCACCTCCTGGAGTGTTGTGAGGTTCAGTGAGTTAAAGACAGATACTCAATAAATATGACCATTATCTCCTGTCTGCTTCTGAGTGAGCCAGTGTTTCTCCCTGGCAGTGAGCTGAATCCACGTCCCTGTGTATCTCATCCGAGGCTCTGTGCATCCAACTCGCCACATACCAGCTGTGCAACCTTTGGTGAGTCACTAGTCTTCTCTGTGCCTCAGTTTCTTCATCTGCAAAATTGGTATAACAATAGTATCTATTTCCTAGGGAGGATGTGGAGATTGAATTAAGTACCCCACCTAAAGAACTCAGGACAATGCCTGGCACACAAGCAGCCCTCAATTACATGAGCATCATCATTGGGGTGTGAGCTCAACTCCCAGTGTCCACAGCTCATGTCTCTCTGCGAATCTGGGGCAGGAAGCGCCCGTGGAAGCCCATGGGGTTATCTGGGGCAGTAAGGGACCAGGCCTGTGAGGGCAGTGTCCGTTTCCTCATCTGTGAAACGGGGATAATCACGGCCCTCCACAGGACTGGCGTGCAGACGAGACGGGCTGGCGCGCGGCAGCGTACAGCTCCGCGTCCGTTTGCTGTGACTTTCTCATCTGTGAAACGGGGATAATCACGGCCCTCCACACAGGACTGGCGTGCAGAAGAGACAGGGGCTGGAGCGCGGCAGCATAGAGCTCCGCGTCCGTTTGCTGTGACCTTTCCTTTATAATAGCACCTCCTTCCTTATCGTCTTAGAAGATAAAGTGAACTTGTAAGCGCTTAGACAAGGGCCTAGCAGGCAGAAAGCACTCTGTAATCTCTGTGGAGCTCTGCGCCTGTGCTTACCTGGACGAGGCGTGGGATGTGGCACGGGCAGGATGTGGCCGTGGGCATCTGGCTTTACAGGTTTCCCTACCACCCCACTTCCTCCGCACCCAATCTCCTGCCCCCACCATTGCCCCACCCCTTGCTCCAAACTCCCCATGACCTCTGAGACAGGCTTTGGCAACCTGTGCCACCTGCCCCGACCCCAGGAAGGGGTCGCAGGCCCCTGGAAACCCAGGCGGGATGGCTGCTTCCCTCTGAGCTGCTACCTCCACGTCTTCTTGGGGTCCCCCATCTCTGTGATTCCTCGTCTCAGACTCTGGGTCTCTTTCTGCCTTTCACCCCCTACCTTGGTTTCTAGAACAAGAAATGTCAGGGCCCCAAGGGTGTGTCCCAGGTGAGGGCAGAGGAGGAAGTAGGAGAAGCAAGACCTCTTCCCTCTACCCTCACCCCCTCTGCTGGTGGGGGGTGGGGGGGTCTTCATTAATTAACCTCTTAATCCCGCCAGGCCAGATCTTAATGAGGTAGATGGGCCTGATTAGAGAGCAGGGAGCCCTTGCATTAGCTCGTTTGCCACACCCCTCTCCAGGGTGGGGGCCTGGGTCCTTGTCTGGCCCGGGGAAACTGGGACGGGAGGCCTGGGAAACTGAGGAGCGGCTAGGGGAGGAGGGGGCTGGAGGTCTGGAGGTCCCAGACTCCTGGGACCTAGAAGAGATGACCTGGGCTCCTAAGCCCGAGGGAGGAGGACACTCCGTGTCGTGACTCCTAGGTCTGAGGGAGGAGGGCCTGGGGGCCCAGATCCTCCCCCCAACACACCCTCTCTTAAATGCCAGCTGGAACGGCCCGCCCCCTCTTGCCCCCAGTTAACCCAAGTCCTGCGGAGGAGCCGGGACAGTCGATCCGACCCGACGGATGGAGGAGGTGCAGGAACCACACGCGCTGGGCGGCGAGCCGGAGGCCGGGGAGCCCTCCGGCCCCCAGGAG